TTTTCCTTGCCACTGCAGCAGGCTAGGAAAGGATTAAATTCTCCCTCCCCTTCTGCCAGATCCTGATCATTATCAGCCCCTCCAGTTGCTGGAGGTAGGAAAAAAACCTGCATGTGAAATATGGAGATGCATTTACTGTCACATCTACTGTGGTTCTCAGATATCTCCAACTGGCAGAAGTAGCTTCTAAGCATAGGAGCCAACTCCTAGGGGCTGAGGTCCCTTCGGCCCCCTCCAATAAAATATTGGAGGGGGCTGGACCCCTCCCAAAGTTGCTAGACATTGCCATTCAGATGGTGCACATGTGCTGCATTTTGCAATTGATCATGTAGGGCAGGGCTTATCTGGCCTCCCCAATATGCACTATCAGCTGCAGCCAGGATGGCCATAGTGCAGGATGATGACCAGCTATGTCTAATTTCTCCCCCCATGCTTACTCTGGGTTGGCATTGGGAGCCCCACAGGTGTGTATGCCCCTGTGGGGCTGCTGCCACCCCACAACTCTCAACTCCATCCTTCTTATGATGAGTGTAGTGTTGTCGCAAAAAGGCTGCTACTGCCTTTGGCCTCCACCCCATGAGCCACCGCTGCTGCCTCCTCTGCTTGGGTCGTAAGAAAAGGAAGCACAGGATTCTCCCAGCAAATCATTCAGATCAGATCCCAGCCTTGCAAAACAGTGCAGGGCTGTGATGTGAGGAGCCAAATGTGCAGTGTCGCTCAGAAAAATGCTCCCGAGACCATCAGCAAGCCCCGCCCTATACCCCTAGCTACAGTTGCATTCTCCACTGCAGATTCTGCACTGAGTAGAGCAGCGGTTCTCAACATGTGGGTCTCAGATGATGTTGTACTACAACTCCCATAATCCTTGAGTTCTGGTCTTGCTAGCTAGGGGTGATGGGAGTTGTAGTCCAACAACATATGGGGACCCACAGGTTGAGAAAGGCTGGTGTAGGGAGTTAGACTAGCTGGAGGTCCCTTCCTGAAATTCTATGATTCCGTTCTGAGAATGACTTTGCCTTACCCTCCATCAATGATCACAACTGGCCTGTGAGCTGAGAGGCGATGGCTGGCCTTCCAAACAGATTGAGTACCCTGCTGTACAAGGATGGGGAATCTTTGGCCCCTGGGATGCTTTTGGACAGCAACTCCCACCATCCCAGATGTCTGGCCATGCAAGGTGAGGCTGAAAGGAATGGGAGTCCACCAGAACCCAAAGGGCCACTGGTCCCCCATCGTTGTTGTTGTAGGAACTAAGCAGTGAATGCTCATCCCACCTGCCCCTTCCATGCACTGAGTGCCACATTGCACCCAAACTTGGTGGAAGCAGTGGCGTAGCGTGGGTGGTCAGCACCCGGGGCAAGGCAAGTAATTTGCACCCCCTAACCCGTGGATTTGCGCCCCCTAACCTTTGGATTTGCGCCCCCTAACCCATGGATTTGCCCTAACCCCAGATGTTGCGCCCGGTGCGGCCGGCCCCCCCTGCACCCCCCACGCTACGCCACTGGGTGGAAGAAATGGCCGATTCCTGATTTTCCACTCCATGCCCAAACCACTGATCCGCAGAGCACAAGCACAGCTCGCTGTGCATGAACAGATGAGTTGCTCCTTGAACCCGTGCCATGCATTCCAGGAAACATTCCTGGCTAAAGGCCGCCATCTTGTTGAGCTTGATGATTGGGTAACTGAACTTTGCCCACAGTCTCCAGGAGGGAAATGATCAACCCAACTTCCTTTCTTAGGGACTGTAGCCAAGTTATAAAAGTTGGACTCCAGGTATTTAACAGATTTAATTTGTCACTGACTTCGCTTATGGGTCAGGTCCACTAGCTTGGCTTCCTTCCGTTTCCTGATAGATTATTGATTTAGGTCAGGGGTGGGAAACATCAGGTGTGCAGGATGAATGCAGCTCTGATGCCTGATCTTTATTTGGCCCCCAGGACTCTTCAAGGGCCACACACCTTCCCAGTATTCACCCCTCACTGGCCCTGCCCCATGTTCTCCTGCAGAAGCACTTTTTACAATCCTACAGCAAAGTCCTCCAAGGCCCTAGAACAGTGTTTCCCAAACTTGGGTCTCCAGTTTTTTGTTTTTGTTTTTAATTACAACTCCCTCCAGCTGTTTTGGGACTACAATTCCCATCACCCCTGACCACTGGTCCTGTTAGCTAGGGATGATGGGATTTGTAGTCCCAAAACAGCTGGAGGGCCGAGTTTGACCATCACTGGTTTGGATGATCCTTGTGGTCCAACTCTATGCTTCTGATGAAAGCTGGCTCTGTGCTGCTGTCACCGTGAAATGTGGGCAGCCTTGTTCATATCAAATGAGAACTCCAGGTGGTTACAAGTGCTGGTGCAATAGGTGCCGCTTAAGGTTTTACAGTTGGGCCCATGAAGATTTTGGCGGTGCGTGTTCAGGGCAGGGCAATTTTATCACCATCCTTGAGCATGTTGCTAGTGTCTGCAAGTGACACTGAAGGCACCAATGAAGACAAAGTTGCACCTCATGAGAGCTGTGTTTATGCCTGCGAAAGAAAGACTTCCGATGAATGTAACATCTCAAGACTTCTTACCAGTAAGATACAGTGGTACCTCGGGTTACAAAAAACCCCGGGTTACAAACTCTTCTAACTCGGAAGTAGTACCTCGGGTTAAGAACTTTACCTCAGGATGAGAACAGAAATCACGCGCTGGTGGTGGTGGCAGGCCCCATTAGCTAAAGTGGTACCTCGGGTTAAGAACGGTTTCAGGTTAAGAACGGACCTCCGGAACGAATTAAGTTCGTAACCCGAGGTACCACTGTACATTCCTTGAGGAAGGGTGGTATTAAGACCACTTTCTATGGTGGGCTAAGTACTGGTGACCTCTGGCCCCATTGTAGGCGTTGATTTTGGTGCTCTGGTTTTCCCTTTGATATGTATGTTTTATTCTTAAACCTATTCCTGTTTTTAAGAAAGGGAGGTGTGTGGTATGAAGTCCCTGTAAGATTAATGAACAGCTTGCCAGCACAGGTGAAAAGCATTTCAACAGACAAGCTCATTTCCTCATGGTGTGTTATGTTTGCACCTGCTTATCTCTGGATATGTGAATAAACTTGCATGCCGTATTTATAATGCATTTATTAAATGTGTATGACTGCCCTTTCTTGAAGCTACCAGCATGAGTTTGACCAAACTGCGGGAGGCAGTGGAGGACAGAAGTGCCTGGCGTGCTCTGGTCCATGGGGTCACGAAGAGTCGGACACGACTAAACGACTAAACAACAACAACAACAACTGCCCTTCATCCAAAGATCTCAGGGAGGTTCACAGAATAAAAATACAAAATAAAAACACAAAATACATAATAAAAACAAGAACATGAACAAAACAAGAACCCTCCGTCCCACAAACACATCTAAAAGGACACAGACAAAGGCCTGGTTGAAGAGGAACGTTTTCGCCTGGTGCCTAAAAGTGTACAATTAAGGCGCCCGGCAAGCTTCCCTGGAGAGAGCATGGCACAAACGGGGAGCCACCACAGAAAAGGCCTTTCTCCTGTTGCCACCCTCCGAACCAATCTTGGAGGAGGAGGAACATGAAGAAGGACCTCAGGTGATAGTTGCAGGGTCCAGGCTGGTTCATATGGGGAGAGGCAGTCTTTGTGGTATTGCCATTTGGGAAGCCTGGGCATTATTGAGTTGGTTCCACAGAACCTCTGAGAACCAGATCTTGAACTCTGACAATGCCTCTTGCTGGAGGATGGAGAGGTGAGTGTGGCCTGTGTACATTGAACCCTCTGGCATTCCCATGGCCGCAACGTTGCCTATGGGCTAAAGGAAGGGTCACATCCATTGCCCCACCCACTTTTGCATCTGACCCAGCCCCACCGCTGGAATGTGGCTCCTGGAAGGAAATGCGGCCCCCTGGCTGAAGAAGTTTCCCAACCCTTGATTTAGGTCAGCTTTCTCCAACCTGGTAACCTGAAGATGTTTTGAACTACAATTCCCAGCAGGCCACGCCAATGTGGCCAATGATGATGGGAGTTGTAGCCCAAAAACACCAAGTTGGGGAAGGCATTGGTCAGTGGGTTACTGATGTCAGGGGCTCTCCGGATCTAGAACAAGGAATCTTATGGCTAACCTAGTGTGCTATCTGGCACACGATATGTTCACCTTCTGGAGGTCTGCTCAAGCATGCAAGGGAATATGGGCAACACCAAATCCTGTGATTGGCTGGCAGCACGAAGCCTTAGCATTGGCCAGGCATGTTATAAATACTGGGAGCCTGGCCAAGAGAGCAGCGTTCTTCTTCCTGAATTTCAGGTGCAAAACTTTGCAAAGCATCTCAGCTGAAACTGATGCCCCCAGTTTCAATCCCTGACCTCAGAGACCCAAGGCTGGAAGCAGACACACTCTAGGTCAGGGGTGGTGAACCTCAGGGTTCAGTGGTGAGGAGAGTCAGGAGAAAGGGAAGAATGCCACAAAGGGTCTCTCCTGTACCCTAAGTGCCCAATATCCTCCTCCATTTTGACAGCTCCAGATCACTCTGGGTGGATCTGACTCAATGGAGTGATCAGAGGCTGTTTCGACCCATCCATGGACCAGCCCCTGGTAGCTTCAGGATCCAGGATTCGTCTGGATTGGATGCAAAGCCCTAGATCTAATCCCTAGCCCCATCTCTCTGTTTTGTAGCCACCACTAGTCATCCTCCAAGCAAACCCACTGAGATTAATGGGAATAACTGAATCCCATTCATCTCTGTAGGTCTTCTCGGAGAATGACTTAGCGCGATAGCTCTTGTTATGTCACCCATGTGATGTAACATGCCAAGGTCCACTGCTCCGGTCCACTTCCCCCTTTCCCAATAGATGGAGCATCTTCCATTTAAGCTGCCACCGCCCCCTTGGAAACTGCTCTCAGAGGTAAAAAATTAACCGGCCCGAAGCTTTTATACAAAGTGCTGGCTTTTCAAAGCATGTGGATTGGCCAGGAGGGTCCTATATACTGAAGGCATCTTCTCAGCATCAACACGTAGAGGCCCTGTTCTTAAATTCCCTTGGGAATAAAGGAGAGCTGGAGAGAAGATCAATATTATTGATAGGTGAAGAGAAAAGCAAGGGGCGACAACGGCCTTTTGGTGATTTCAGGCCACGCCGTCTGGGAACTGTGGATTGCCACGTTTCTGCCTTCTGAAACACAGGAGGCCAGTTCTCTGTAAACTCCAACCAGTGTGCGGAGGCTTGAATCCCATCAGGGTCTCCTGGAAGCCCCTCTCCTCCAGGGAACTCTACTCGGCTGACCACCAACACCACTATGACTTTCGCAGATATCCTGGACAACCTGGGAGGAATGGGCCGCTTCCAAAGGATGTCCGTCGCCTTCCTGGCCATCCCTCTGATGTTTCTGGCCAACCACAACCTCCTGCAGAATTTCACGGCAGGGATCCCCGAGCACCACTGCCGGCCCCGCATCACGGCCAACCACACCCGCCATGCCAGCAACCTCACCCAGCAGCTGGGAGCCGAGAGCTCCCTCCGGATTTCCATCCCGATGGATGAGAACAAGCAGGTAGAGAAGTGCCGCCGCTTCGTCACCACCCAGTGGCGGCTCCTGGATCCAAACGCTACCCTCCCCAGCAACACCGTGGTGGACACTGAGCCATGTGTTGATGGGTGGATCTACGACAGGAGCATGTTCACCAACACCATCATCAGCGAGGTGAGAGAGAGCAGCCCTCTATCTGGACCATCCTTGAGAGAGTGGGGTTGAGGATAAGTGGCTGGGAGGGCCATCGTGCAGTGGTAGAGCACCTGCTTGGAGTGCAGAAGGAGTGTCCCCTGCCTGAAACCCTGGAGAGCCACTGCAAGTCCACTACATGGACCAGTGGTCTGATTCAGTAGAAGGCAGCTTCCCAAGCTCCTTAGTTAAGAACCATGAGGTCTAGAATCTTAACTTTTTTTAAAAGGGAAAGGAGCATATGTTATTTACATACAAAAGGTCCCTTCTTCAATTCCCAATGGCACCTGGAAAACCCTTGCCAGTCAGTGCAGCCAGAGTTCCCCAAACCTGGGTCTCCAGCTGTTGTTGGACGACAACTCCCATCATCCCTAGCTAGCAGGACCAATGGTCAGGGATGGTGGGAACTGTAGTCCAAAAACAGCTGGAGACCTAAGTTTGGGAAACCCTTGTGTAGACTATATTGAGCCAAATAGACCAATGGTGTAACTTGATGTAAGTAAGGCAGGTTCCTGTCCTGTCATGGACAAATGAGGCAACAGTTTTTCATAGAGCTGAAAAGAGTCATAGAGCTGGAGGAGATATTATGTTTGAGTTCACCTTCTCACATGAAGCTCCCTAATTTGCACTTCCCGAAGAAATATGCAAACCCCTAAGCAGCTGTCCTTCAAAATTCGCACTTCTCCAGAGATTTGGATGCTGTTCGCTTGCCAAATAACGTGAATAAAAATATGTGACTCGGGGGAAGGCACACATAAAAATCCACCCGTTAGCAGAAAGCGCATGCAATATTGCATTATATGAGGAAATGGCTTGCAAAAATGTGTACATTAGGCAAAATTACACGCATAAATATGTATATTAGAAGAGAGAGTCACACCAAAATGCTGATGAATTCTAAAGAGCCGCTTTAAAAGACAAAAAGAAATCAGAACAGATGCTCAATCAAGACTGAACATTTTATATTTTTGGCATAAACCTTGTGCGAGCAAATCAGTTTTTGTACACCTCATTAAATTTTGTAGACCCAAAGCACCTTATAGCAACAGATCTGTCAGGGGTGTCAGCTATAACAACCAGAGGTGTGTGGAGTCAAAATGTAACAGCGAAAGGGAGGGATTTCTTCACATCTGGAACATAATGCTATGGCGTTTTTCAAGCCTAAGAATCTGTATTTCAGTGTCTACAAGTGGATCTGTAGCAAAATGTCCAAGCTTCCTGCCAGCCATGCCTTTCCTCAGAGATCCCATCCATTCTGCATTGGCTCCCAGTACGTTTCCAAGCACAATTCAAAGTGTTGGTGCTGACCATTAAAGCCCTAAATGGCCTCGGTCCAGTATACCTGAAGGAGCGTCTCCACGCCCATCGTTCAGCCCAGACACTTAGGTCCAGCGCTGAGGGCCTTCTGGCGGTTCCCTCAGTGTGAGAAGTGAGGTTACAGGGAACCAGGCCTTCTTGGTGGTGGCACCTGCCCTGTGGGACACCCTCCCATCAGATGTCAAAGAAATAAACAACTACAGTATCTGACTTTTAGAAGACATCTGAAGGCAGCCCTGTTTAGGGAAGTTTTAATGTTTAATGCTGTATTGTGTTGTTAATATTCAGTTGGGAGCCACCCAGAGTGGCTGGGGAAACCCAGCCAGATGGGCGGGGTATAAATAAATTATTATTATTATTATTATTATTATTATTATTATTATTATTATTATCCCCCAATATACCCTCCAAACATCAGCTAGCTTGCTAAGTCCAAATTGGACTATACCTCTGAGCCAAATTCCTCCCTCCTTATGCATGGAATTTGGATGCATGAGAGAGCGAGGTTACTATTAATTAGTAGGTAGAATGAATCGGCAGCATCAGAAACATGGACATCGAACATTGGCACCTATTTGTAAATGTACAAAGTAATACAGTGGTACCTCGGGTTGCATACGCTTCAGGTTACATACGCTTCAGGTTTCAGACTTCGCTAACCCAGAAATAGTACCTCGGGTTAAGAACTTTCCTTCAGGATAAGAACAGAAATCGTGCAGCAGTGCCACAGCGGCAGCAGGAGGCCCCATTAGCTAAAGTGGTGCTTCAGGTTAAGAACAGTTTCAGGTTAAGAACGGACCTCCGGAATGAATTAAGTACTTAACCCAAGGTACCACTGTAAGCAACTTCTTTAAATAATGACTTCCCTAAGTTACTCCTTATCCCCTTTCAGCACTCTACCTTGTTCACAGTTATATTATCTAAAGTGGTATATTTAAGTATGATAAGGATTGTAATGATTCATTGTTTTCAGCACCTTTGTAATGAGTCATTGTTTTCATTGCCTTCACTTAGAGCCTGAAGTTCACCAGTCACATAATTTTTCCTCTGGGACACTGGAAACAGATTCCGCGAGGCACTGAAAATAGGTTTCCAGGCTCAGAAATTAAGCCCCGCTGTGAGGCTGCCTCAAATGTTATGTCCACCTTTGTTCTCACACAGTCTCTGCTCCCCCCCCCTCGATTTTTAGTGGGATTTGGTGTGCGATTCCCGGACCCTGAGGCAGATGGCCCAGTCCATTTACATGGCCGGAGTGCTGATCGGATCGGTGCTGTTTGGCAACCTCTCGGACAGGTGAGGTCCAAGGCCGGTTACCATGGCTACGAACGACAAAGCTGGATGAATCCCCCCCACTCCCCAGTTCAATCTGTGGGGGTTGGTTGTCCCCTTCCTCTGGGGTATAATAACAGCTCTTGAAATCAATGTGGTTGGGGTTGGGGGTGAGGGATGTGGGCGTGGCCTGTTGCGTGGCCACCTGGGTCAAGGGGTGGAGCCTAAAGCAGGTCTTATGGTGAAACCAGTGGGCCTCTCAGGCTCCAGCAATGCTGAAAGTTTAAACTCTCTGCAAGTCCAAATACCTCTAGCAATCCTAAAGAGCTACTGTGGGCAGGGACGATGGTAGCCCCAAAACTGTCATAGAATTCTACTCAGTATTGATCCAGAGCAGATTCCAACATATAGTTAAGCAGAGTAAAAACTTAACTATGTTGCAGGATTGCAAAAAAAATAAAATAAAAATAAAAATAAGTAGACAAGAGGCAATTAATATTTCATCCAGAAGAGCTTTACTGCTACTGAAGGTAAATGAGCATAATGGTCACAAATCCAGTACATTCAGGATTGGCCCTGTCACAAGAAATCCAGTTGCAACAGACTTAACTTAAACTTACAATAACTTATAATAAGACTAAACCTTAACACTATACAGTGGTAGCTTGGTTCTCAAACTTAATCCATTCCGGAAGTCCGTTCCAAAACCAAAGCTTTCCAAAACCAAGACATGCTTTCCCATAGAAAGTAATGCAAAATGGATTTATCTGTTCCAGACTTTTAGAAACAACCCCTAAAACAGCAATTTAACATGAATTTTACTATCTAACGAGACCATTGATCCATAAAATGAAAGCAACAAACAATGTACTGCAGTCACACAATCAATCAATCAGTAGCTGAACTGGGTTCCATACACTCACAAAAACAAAATAAAAAGAGCCGCAAAAACAAAAACGCAAAATAAATGGCAAAAACAGACAGACCTCAGCATAACACCCAAAACAGAAGTGTGGCATTCAAAACGGAAGTGTAACACTCAAAACAGAGCACTTTCAGCTTCCGAAAAAGTTCACAAACTGGAACACTTACTTCTGGGTTTTGAGTGTTTGGGTTCCAAGTTGTTTGAGCACCAAGGCATTTGAGAACCAAGGTACCACTGTATACAGAACACCACACCAGAGGTAGAAAGAGAAAGTGAAACCCAGGCTCCTTCTGACCTTTCTTTTATAGTCAGCATGACCTTGACAGAAGAGATAAGAGAACCCATTTAAACCAGCTGTACTCAGCTTCTCTGAAGGAATAACCCAAACATCATGAACCTTCTGCTTGTTTATTTCACACAGAGAAGCTTCCAGAACCCTCTTGAATTAATTAGAATAGGAAAGATCTCTACACATCAGGTCAATACTTTCTGCACTAAGAAATGCAAAATGGCAACAACATCAGGAGAGTCCCAACCCTGCAGTGAAGAAGGGAGACGGGCCGTAGCCAAATGGAAGAGTATCTGCTTTGCACACCTGAGCTCCCAGTTTCATTCCAGGTGTGTTCAGGTGGGGTTGGGAATCTGCCCTGCCTGAAACCCTGGAGAGCCAAAGCTAGTCCATGGAGACAACAGTGAGCTAGATAGACCAATGGCCTGATGTGGTATATAAGGCAGTTTTTTTACGCTCCTCTTGTTGTTGTTTAGTCGTTTAGTCATGTCTGACTCTTCGTGACCCCCTGGACCAGAGCACGCCAGGCACTCCTGTCTTCCACTGCCTCCCGCAGTTTGGTCAGACTCATGTTTGTAGCTTCGAGAACACTGTCCAACCATCTCGTTCTCTGTCGTCCCCTTCTCCTTGTGCCCTCCATCTTTCCCAACATCAGGGTCTTTTCCAGGGAGTCTTCTCTTCTCATGAGGTGGCCAAAGTATTGGAGCCTCAGCTTCAGGATCTGTCCTTCCTTAGCTTCACATTAATACATGTTCAACTCCATCATTTAGGTTTGGCCGGAAAGCCCTCATCGTCTGGAGCTACCTGCTGATGGGGGTGGCGGGCAGCTCCACTGCCTTCTCGCCAAACTACACGGCTTACTGTGTTTTCCGCTTCCTGTGTGGAATGGCCATGTCGGGGGTAGCGATTAACTCCGTCTCCCTGTGTGAGTACTTCGACGCTCCTCTCTCGCTGGCCAAGTCCTCAAGCAGCCCTTCACAAGCCACCTGAGAAGACCAGGGCCACTTCCATTTCATCCTACAAACCGGGGATGGGGAACCTCAGGTCCCAGGGCCAAGGGTAGCCCCCAAGGCCTCTCTAACTGGCCGCCGTGACTCTCCTCAGACACCTCCCCCCCCCTTTCCCTAGGCAATACCTTTCACTGGCCCTGAGGGGTTTTTGTCTGGAGGGAACGTGCCCTTGCACTCTGACAATGCCTCTTGCTTGTGGATATTTGGTGGAGCACGAGACTCTTCATTTCAGGGTCGTGGGTTTGAGCCCCACATGGGGCAAAAAGGGGGTTGGGCTAGATGACCCTTGTGGTGCCTTCCAACTCTCTCTCTCTCTCTCTCTCTCTCTCTCTCTCTATATATATATATATATATATATATATATATAAGTTTTTTAACATCATTGTCAACAGTTATTAAACATACTTTTATATCTTATACAATTTTTTTGACTTCCATCAATCACATCTGAAAATTTTCCAATCTTTCCCACTTAATTTACATTTCTTACTTTCACTATTACATTTAAGTATCATAAGTAATGTCTCTCCTCTTTATCTTCTTTGCAATATTTCATATATTCCTCCTTACAAAACTTCTTGTAGTCCTACTAGCGTAATTTGCTCTTCAAATAGTTCGTATATTTCTTCCAATCTTCTGTGAATCTCTTGTGGTGCCTTCTAACTCTATAATTCTATGATTGTCTGGATGGAAAATGGAGAGGGTGTGTGTGTATTTAGAAACAAGCCTACTTTACAAGGGGGAAAGTTTATATTTTAACTGTACTAAGCCAGCACTTCTACACACTTTATTTTTGTATATTGAAACATTGCTCCCAATTTGAAAAGAAAAACCTACGCCTTTTTAATCTACGTGACTATAACAGCTCTGTGTTTCGGTGCCCTGTCCACTCAAGCAACTCCCATGGCACTTAATCAACTTGAATTTGAGTCAACAGCTCAGGTTCAAAGGTGGGAAAAGAAAACTATATCCTAGCTAGGCAACTAATGTACGACTCCTACCCTGAACAGCAAGAATCGCGGCAAGAAAGTGGTAACCATAATTGTTACCTGCGCACTTTTATCGTTTTTACTCACCCTTCTCCTCTGACCTCGGTTGCCAACCTGAAAAAAGCAGCATTTTGAAAAAAATGTGTCCTTTTCTCCTTCCCCAGGCATGGAGTGGATTCCGACCAAGTACCGTGCCATTGTTGGGACCATCAACGGTTACGGCTACACCTCTGGGCAGTTCATCCTGGCTGGACTGGCGTACGCCATCCCTGGCTGGCGCTGGCTGCAGCTGACAGTCTCCCTGCCTTTCTTTGTATTCTTCCTCTACTCCTGGTAGGTCAATGTGGTCTGCTGGCAGTGGCGCCACCAGGGCAGGACTTTGGGGCAGAGAAGCCCAAAGCTCAGGAGCAGGAGGGCTCAGGCCGCCCCGTACATCAGGGCTGGCTTAACACATTTTGCAGCAAGTGAAGTAATACACATGGCTGGATCCTGCTTACTGCAGGTCCCAATCCCAAAGATGGAGAGTGGAAGGTGCTCCAAGCTCACAGTGGGTTACTCTGCATTTTTAAATCGGTCCCAGTATATCCTTCCAACAAGGGTGGGAAAACATTTCGGTCCAAGGGCCACATTCCTTGTGAATGACTTCCCTGGGGCCACATGACAGTGGTGGGCGGGGCCAAAGGGAAAAGAGGGCGCGGCAGCAGGTGTGAATCTTACCTTTCTCCAGGAGGCTAAATCAGACGTCTCCATGCAGGCAAGAAAAGAGGCACAATGACAGTTCGAGGACAAATTCTAGCAGGCAGAAGCAGTCAAGGAGTGGTGGGATGCAGAGGAATGGTGGGAGACACAAGCTGGGGAATCCCCAAGGGAACCCCCAGGGGAAGAAGGCTCAGAGCCCAAGAAGTGGTGGTGGGATGATAAGAACTGGACAGAGGGAGCAGACAAGGAGGAGGAGGTGTCGGAAGCAGAAGAGGTAACAGGGTTTAGTGAGCAGGGAGATTCGGTGGCAGAGAGAAGTCCAGAATTGGAAGCAGCAGTGGAGGGAGCCCAAAAGGCAGAGATGAGTCAGGCTGGTGAGGAACTCAGGGTGTCTCTCTCTCTCTCTCCTGCTGCTGCACCAAGCTCCCCTCCCCCATGGTCTCCCAGGACCAGAAGAGGTATGAAGAGGGAAGAGCACATTGGTGTAGTCTCAGATTGTTTGGGAAGGATCTGGGAGAGGAGGGGACTTAGGCAGCTGTGGGAAGGCAGAGACATTCAGCCTCCACAACTGCCTCATAAAGGCAAGACCAATAGAAAAGAGTTGCTGTGCTCATTAGGCCTGGCTCCCCTGAGCAGGCATTTCTTCTGATAAAGAGTTAACTTCACCTACCCCATTGCTGCTCCCTGCTCTTGCCATTCCTTCCTTCCCTCAGAGAGCTACTGAAAGAACCCCCTTTCCTTGTGTTTGGTCTGCAGGCTGTATGTGGAGTCGGCACGATGGCTGGCAATTTCAGGAAAACACGAGCAGGCAGTGAAAGGCCTCAAGAGAGCCGCCCAAATAAACGGGAAGAAGAACGAAGGAGACAAACTTAGTGTGGAGGTACAGCACGCTGGGGATGCAGGACAAGGAAGAAATGCAACTTCTTGCACAGGCACAAAATTAGGAAGCAGCCGTGTGTGCAACGGCCCTAGCAAACTAATCGGTAGAGCTCAAATTCAGGCCTCCCATCCTGAGACACCTGAGGACTGGCTGCAGTTGGCTGTGATGGAAAGGTACTCTGAGCATGCTCAGAAGTATTATTCCACATATCCCTAGGGCTCAGCCATTTCAGTTCACTTCATTCAGTTATTCATTTTTCATTCATGAATGTTGCCAAATAAACTCCTATTTAGTGGGAATGTGCTAACCATGAGATCGTTTGGCCATTACGAATCCAGCTTGGGAGGCTGGCGAGTCCCTCATTTGCCAACATATTTTGATGCCTTTCAACTATTTCATTCCACTTTTAATTTGTATACCACCTTTCTATATATGCTATGCACGAGCTTGCTAGATTAAAATTTGATTTCCAAAGCAAAACGCTTTGCTGCACAGCTCAGGTTCATTGTCAGCCGACTTGTGTCGGGAGCTGTAAAGCATTTCATGACCCTGTTTTCTCATTCTGCAACAAGTCTTGGGAGACAAAGCGTTGGAGGATTAGGCTCTCTGTGGCCATGGGCCAAGATGGCTATGTTCTGCTTCCACAGTTAGGGGCAGCATGTCTCTGAATGTCAGTTGGTGGGAACCACAGGTGAAGAGAGTTGTGACTGTGCTCAGGTCCTGTTTAGGGGCTTTACAGAAGAGGCGTCTGATTGGCTACTGGGAGAACAGGATGCTGCAGGGCTGCGTTGGTGACCTTCTGTCCCCTGCTTGGTTTATCCCAACTTTGCCTCTCTTCCTGCTCAGGTTTTGAAATCCAGCATGCAAAAGGAGCTCTCCTCTGCCACCAAAGCCAGCCACGGCATGGCCGACCTGATGTGGACACCTGCTATTCGTAGAATCTCCTGCGGGATCTCCCTTGTCTGGCAAGTGCCTTCTTTTCTTCTTCTTGCTGGGGCAAAAAAAAAAAAAGGAACACAAACTTTGCCCCCCCCCCCCAATACAATGTCAGGAACAGGCTGGATGAAGAGGAGCACTAGGAGGCTTCAGCCGAAGAACTCCCCCAGGAAAACAGCAGAGGAGGATGGCTCACAGCCAAGATTGTGGTGGTGGGACTCAGGAGACAGGTCAGAGATGGAGGGAGGCTGGGAAGAGCAAGGAGCAACAGGCTCAAGGGAAAGAGAAGAGCCTGAGGCAGAAAGCCCTTCGAGAGCAAGACAGGGTATTATTATTATTATTATTATTATTATTATTATTATTATTATTATTTATACCCTGTGCATCTGGATGGGTTCCCCAGCCACTCTGGGCAGCTCCCAACCAAATATTAAAATACCGTAATACATCAAACATTAAAAGCCTCCCTAAACAGGGCTGCCTTCAGATGTCTTCTAAAAGTCTGGTAGTTGTTGTTCTCTTTGACATCTGGTGGGAGGGTGTTCCATTTGGCGGGCGCCACTACCGAGAAGGCCCTCTGCCTGGTTCCCTGTAACCTTACTTCTCGCAATGAGGGAACCGCCAGAAGGCCCTCGGCGCTGGACCTCAGTGTCTGGGCAGAACAATGGGGGTGGAGACGCTCCTTCAGATATACAGGTACAGATATACGGGTACAGAGAGAGAGAGAAATCAGGCCCTGGACCCGAAAGAGAGAAGGTGGAAAGGACAAAAGCTGCACCAGCTTTGCAGCAGCTGCCTTGAGCTCCCCTCCCGCTTTGACTCCAAGGCCATGCAGGGCTTTACATGTAGCTGAACAGAAAGCTCAGGAAGCCAAGGGCCCGCCAGAGTTTGAACCAGTTTGGGAGACATCCAGAGGAGGAGATTTAGGTGGAAGGAGGAGGGGCCAAGAGCTAGTCTTGGCAACGTTGCCACTGAGAGCAGCCATGCCTGTGTGCTCCCTGCTTGTATGCTATTTTCTTGAATCAAAAGCCAGCTTTACTTTGAGTCTCTGTTCTAACCTGCCAATGACCCAGCCTTGACATGCAAGCAAACAGATAAGGGATGCAAAAAAAGGGGGGTGGAGAATGCAGAGGGGCTAAATGAATCATTTGCATACACCTGCATCAGTGGCAGGTGTAGGGTGGATGCATATACCTGAACTATATTTCTCAAGAAGGAAGTCTGAGGAATGGGCCTTTTCAGTGTTGGCTCCCTGTTTGAGCATTGCTTTCCCTAGGGAAGCATGCCAGGAACCATCATTCACACATGTCTGAATTTTGAAAGGCAGTTCTCCAGCTGGGTAATGCATACACACATGCATATACTAGGGCAAAGTGTGCACTAAAATGCCTATATTAGTGAAAATCACATATAACACTGTATTCTCCAGGGGGAAATTGCTTTACGAAAATGTGCAAAATCACATACAAATGTGACTCTTTGGAGAAATCCACACTAAATGGCTGGTGAATTTTCGCAAGATTGCTTAAAAATAAAATAAAAACTGCAAACTGATTTGGAAATGTGGAGAACGGAATTTAAGATTGGAAAGAAAGAACTGTCAGAAACTGAAACCAACAGATTATTGGAATCCATTTCAGACAAGACAGGGAGAGCTTTTGCATTGTTGGCAAGCAAGGAAGTTGGGGGCGTGTTGGTTGAGCATCCTGACTTGTGATCTGTCACCCCAGGTTCTCCACCGCCTTTGCCTATTATGGGCTGGCCATGGACCTGCAGAACTTTGGCTTCAACATCTACCTAACCCAGCTGGTCTTTGGCGCTGTTGACTTCCCAGCCAAGCTGGCCTCAGTGTTGACCATCACGTTTGTGGGCCGCCGGTTCTCCCAGGCTTCGTCACTTATCCTGGCAGGGCTTTGTATCCTGGCCAACATCTTTGTGCCTTCAGGTGAGGATCTTGTTATGAGTGCGGCACAGAAATCGGTTAGTGCAAAGATATAGTGTCTCCCCTCCCCACTGGCCTCAATCCCAGGCATAAGAAGAGTCCTGGTGGAACAGGTCAATGGTTCACCCAGTCCAGCACCCTGTTCTCACAGCAGCCAGCCAGATGTTCCAATGGGAAGCCCAAAAGCAAAACCCGAGCAACTCTCCCTACCTCTAGTTTCCAGCTACTGGTGTTCAGATGCATATTTCCTTCAACAGCAGAGCTTCAGCATAGCCATCGTGGCTAGATGCCATTGGTAGCCTTATCCTCTGTGAATTTTTGCTTCCAACTGACAAGTCTCTCTTAATTCTTAGATCTGAGCAGTCTGCGAATGGTTTTTGCTGTGATCGGCAAAGGCTCCCTTGCAGCCTCCTTCAACTGTGCCTACATCTTCTCTGGAGAGCTTTTCCCAACTGTGGTCAGGTGGGTCAAAGGGAGTCCTGGAAACCTACAATGCCAAATTCAGATAACTGTGAAGGCTAGCTGTGTTTCGGTTTGTGTATTGTTTTGAAAAGTGTGTTTAAGGTAGATTTGCCTTTAAATGAAAACGGAACTTCTCCTTCATCCCCATTGAAAAGTGTGGAATTAATTAATCATTAAGAGGAAGACGTAGAAACGCCTCACAAGCAAGTCATGGCAAATGCATTGTTGTATAGTCTCCCTGCCAAGAAATCAGAATGAAAAGTTCAGTAAAGCTGTCTAGCTGCCCCTTAAGCTTTGTGTGAGCAAATCAAGATGACTGCTCAACAAACAGGTCATCTGGAAGAGCCCTGCATTTTTATTTTGTATCTTGTGATGCTGCCCTAGAAAACTCTAAGGAAACTGACGGTCATGCAATCCACATTCAAACCAGAAGCTCTAGAAAGAGCTGGAAACTGCAGATCTTCACGTCCGTTTCCTCTCCTGCCACAGGCAATCGGGGATGGGCCTGGGGGGTACCATGGCCCGTGTGGGTAGCATGATAGCCCCTCTGGTGAAGATGACTGGGGAAATATTCGCACCGTTGCCGCTGATAATCTATGGAACGGCTCCCATTATCTCTGGCATTGCTGCCTGTTTTCTACCAGAGACCCGGAATGTCCCACTTGCAGAGACAATTGAGGAAGTGGAGAGACGGTGAGTTTCAATATATATCTAACGCTTTGGGGAGGTTTCTGCCCTGGTGGCCCTGCCCTCAAATTGGGCTGGCTAAGGACGAAAACAGGGATGCGGGAGCTCCTGTTGCTCAGTCCCAGCTCCTGCCAACCTAGCAGTTTGAAAGCACGTCAAAGTGCAAGTAGATAACTAGGTACCACTCCAGCAGGAAGGTAAATGGTATTTCTGTGGGCTGCTCTGGTTTCTCCAGAAGCAGCTTAGTCATGCTAGCCACATGACCCGGAAAAACTGTCTGTGGACAAATGTTGGCTCCCTCACCCAGTAAAGCAAGATGAGTGTCGCAACCCCAGAGTCGGCCATGACTGGACTTAACTGTCAGGGGTCCTTTACCTTTACCTTTAAGAAAGAAAACAGAATTCTATATACTACTCAGAGACACTTAAAAAAAAAAGCACCCCCTCCCTTCTTTAACTGACGAATTTATAAGACTTTTAGGCTGGAATCCTATACACATTTAAAGATAAAGGGACCCCTGACCATTAGGTCCAGTTGTGGCCGACTCTGGGGTTGCGACGCTCATCTTGCTTTCTTGGCCGAGGGAGCCGGCGTAGAGCTTCCGGGTCATGTGGCCAGCATGACTAAGCCGCTTCTGGCGAGCCAGAGCAGCACACGGAAACGCCGTTTACCTTCCCGCTGTAGCGGTACCTACTCATATACTTGCCCTTGATGTGCTTTCGAACTGCTAGGTTGGCAGGAGCCTATACACATTTAGTGAACAGTAAATGCCTTGTGGGATATCTTTGGGAGAAGAAAAGGCAAAGGAGTAAACCCTACACAAATCCAGAGTGGAGTCTCTAAGACGGTTAGATAAACATGCCCATTTCCTTCCGCCATTTCCGCATAGGGCATGATCCTTGCCCTGTATTGCTTATTTCTGTTCAATCACTTTTACTTTTAAGGTCAAGACCCCTCCAAGAGGATGAACAACAAATGAAGGTTCTTCTTGCCTCCACCAAGTCTGATCCCATCAAAGATGGTAGCTAAGAAGACAAAAGACACAGGGGCTTTTTCACTCCACCCTCACCTGCCCACCCCAGTCTTCAGTCTTCAGACCCCTCCCCAGGTTCTCTAAAAGTTAAATCTCAGTGGGGAGGGAATTGATGGAAGCGGTGGGATATGCATACACCTACGGTAAAGGCATGTAAATTTATTGTGTTTGCGTGGACACAAAATGTCAGCACACTCTTTCCAGTCTTAAATTCAGTTCTCCACATTTCTGCATCAGCGTGCAATTTATTTATTTTTCCAAAGCCTGCTTGAAAACCCATCAGCATTTTATTGTGAATTTATCCTGATATACACATTTTTTATTCAATTTTGGCAAAATAGCTTTTTGCAAAGCAATTTTCTCCAATATAATGTGTTTTTGTACGCTACTTTCACTAATATATGCATTTTTATGCACGCTTTGCCCAAGTATATGTATTTTTGTACACATTACTTGGCTGGGGAACTGCACGGAAAAATCTGGAGAAGTGTGAATTTCGAAAGGTGGCTGTGTTATGATTCATGTACTGTTTTGAAAAGTGTGAATTAGAGTTTGTCTTTAAATACAAACTGATTCAGTTTCCTTCCCCATCCCTTATCAGAGATGATGGGAGTTGTAGTTCAGTAACATCTGGAGGACCGCAGGCTTCTCTCCTGCCAAAGCTGTTCAGGGATACATTCTGCAACTTGACTTGACTCCACACTAGGCAGCCTCTGACTGAACTAGAATTTCCTGCGGCAAGTTTGATTCTGTGTGTCTGTGGCTCAATTGGAACCAGGGTTTCCTCTCATACCTGGTGCATAATTAACGGAACAAAGTTTGGAAGATTGCCAGTTGCTACTGATGAAAATGGTTACTGTGCTTATTGTATTGTATACACCTGAGATTTGCGAAGAAATGTCAGACTGTACTTTCTGCATCCTGTGGCCTTTGGGCCCCACTGTTTACAGTTTTCTCTATACCTATATATATGTGTGTGTGTCGGCCATGAGAGGCTTTTTCATGCATATGATGCCATAATAAATGTGTTAGCCTTTAAAGTGCCACAAGGCTCTTTATTTCATTTTGCATTGCTTTGTTTCAACAGAACAACAACGAACAAATCTATGGTCACGTAAAGCATGCTCAATAAGCACACAAGACGTAACCGGCTGTGTTCTTAGATAAATCAGGTATACTATTCATTGTACCAAATTATAAATTTCAACAGAAGTAACTCATAAGGTTCAACAAACGAACAAAGCAGAAGACCCAGTGGATCAGATCATTCTCTAGTCAGTTCATGCATAAGGTCCATCCATGGAATGGTGTCTATTCCACCTGTCTGTTCATAAAGTCCAAACCATCCACATGAAAGGTTGTTACAGTTCCACAAAATCCTTTCACAGAGTCTAAGACAAGGATTTCCAGAATATTGGCCTTGTTTCGCTGTCCTGGGCTTCATCAAAAGTTAAAGCTCATATGTGATATTACAGGACAGCGGATCTTATGCCATAGTAGTAGCTGCAGTCAGCAGACAGCATTTTCGATTTGTACGGCTACTCCTCTAGAAACTGTGATAATAAATCCGTTAAGATGTCACTGGACTCTTGGCCCAATCCATGGCAGCAGCCCTGGGTGCTTTGGATAAAGGGCTGATCTAGACAGAAACATAGAAAGGTACTTGATATGGAGGGCTGCCGCCAAACTGGTGGACTGTTGTTTTGGTTGGAAATCACTGAGGAATACCAGTTAATCCTGAAGTCCCATGTGTGTGGGGAACTACAAAGAAAAAATGGCTGGGGAAAAGGGGTGCGAGGCTTGACTCACTCTATAGCAAAAACAGTCCCTAGCAGAGTTGAAAACACAGATCATTTGCAAAGCATAGGAAATATACGTTGTTAGAGCTTTAACATTTTAACATTTGCAAAGCATAGGAAATATACGTTGTTAGAGCTTTAAATATGCCACTATTTTTTTAAAAAATTATAATACTGTTTTTATTTATTTTCATGGTTCAGAAGATAAATTTTGAGAAAACAATTGTTACAACAGTAAGCAACAAGTAACTTGTCATGATAAAATTATAGAATTTTATCATGCCATGTGTTAAAGTTTCATTTGATTACTCCAAGAGATCACACCACATTTCCCCAAGAGTGCTGGGTGGATTCCTGTCACGGTCTGAACAATTTATGTATTCAATAAACATTTGCCATGTTATAAAATGTGCCAGTATTAAGCAATTAAAATTCTCCTCCACCCCTTTTGGAGTGAATAGACCATAAACGTTAGCAAGTTTAAATACTTTGCTCATTCATTCTCCAACGCTACAGCAGAAACAACACAGGTAACATCATCTTCAGCAGTACAAGCAGTCTCCCCCCACCCCCACTTATGTGGGGGTTATGTTCCAAGGCACCGTGCGCATCAGTGAAATTGCATATAATTGAAACCTACAGCAGAAATCCTGTCTGCCAGGATACCTGATAATGGTCACTGGTTGCATTACCTGGGCAGTCTGGCCATTCTTTTTTGATGGCTAATACTTTAGTTCCTGAACTGAGGTCACAGGCTCACCCTATTCATACACAAATACACCCTTAAGGCAGGATTTGTAAGCAAAAGACAATGGGGAGGCTTTTCCATTTCCTTCCTTCTTGCAGAGAAATATTTGAGGTCAATTTGGGAGAATCAAAATGGCTTCAGGATTGCTCTCCTGTACTATTTCAGACACGTGGTTTATATACTTATGCATATGTTTGCCTTGTACATTTATGAACATTTAATTTATATATGAGACCTGTTCCTTGCAGTTGTGATCACTTTTGCAGAGCTGTGTAATTAATGCCCATCAGCGCCTCCCATCAAGCGCTGGAAATTATTGGTTGCGCTGTAAATTGAGGGCATGTACCACCCCACATGCACCACCCAGAAAGGATAAATTCATAACCTTTTCCTCTGAAGTAATAGGTTTTTTTATGAATGGAAAACCTTGCTTATGAATGAAACTCATGTCAAATGATATAGTAAACCCAAAAGTGAGCAGTGTTTGGCCCACACCTCACCCCAGCAGCCACTTCTGAAGTCACACAGCCAGGAAACTAGGAAACCCCTCAACTAGCTGTGAATGTCTTACCAGTTGGAGAGGGTTGCTTGTCCACAGAAGAGGGAACTGTCATTTGCTTATCAAAGAGGGGAATGTGGGTAAGAGCAAGAAGAATAGATCTGGGAGGGAGAAGGAGAGTGGGTGTTTAGATGCCTGGAGAAGGGAATAAAATGTGTCTGAATTTGAATGGCGATTCAAGACAGGCAATTCACAAAGTATTGTGATTGACAAGTTCCGAAACTATGTACTCATGTATGCTCCAGTGTCACTAAACACCTCCTCTGTCTTTGTGATGTTTTCATTACATTTTGGGTGGTGTTTCTGACAGGGCTGGGCAGTTTCCTTTCATTTTAGCTGGCTGTGACTCTGTTTCCTTCCACTGACCAATAACGGACATTGCAGGGTCTCCCTTGAGAGAGCCCCATTTTTCGTGACATGTGGATGTGTCAAAGGCAGAAGGGTTCACCATGCAGACTGATACATTCATTGGGGATTCATGACGCGACCTCAGCGGGAAGCATCCCAGACCAAGAGAAGGGTGGAAAAAGTCTTACCAAACACCCAGAGCAGCAAACGATCCCCCCCCCCCTGGATCTGCAAAGCCCCCATAAATAAAGCTTATCGTTGTGATGTTTTCTTTGATACCAGGAATGCAAATGACTTCAAGGGGGAAAGTTCATATTCCAGGCCTGACTCAGCTCATTCCTCTGCCTGTTACCACCATCTCGCCCAAGTTCGCTGGAAGTGAATGCGCACCCCTCCCTTTTCACTAATACCTCCATTCTTAGGAGATGTGGGTCTAATGGAACTGACTAAGCCGTCTGAAACTCAGCAGGAGCTTAATCAGAAGCACAGAAAAACAAGCCCCTCTCCAGAGCCTTTTCGTCTTGCTCTGGCCTTTTCAGCCTCATTCTACCTTTCGTTCCTGCAGACAGAGGGGGGAGAGGGAAAGGTGCCCTACTGGTTCCTTCGTAGGAACTGCACATAAGCGGCAACTCATTTCTGGGTGACCTTGGAGCAGGCTCAAATATGAAATGCACACGCAGGAGGGCAGAGGTCCCGTCTGTTTGCCCATCAGCAGGAGGCATGGGAAGTGTCCTTCTTAACTGTTTCATTCCTTCAGTACAGCTCCGACCACTGCAAAGGAAATCAGCCGTGGAATCATTTTGACAGCCTCCACCGGGCCGGTTCTTGGAGGTTTCCATCTCTACGTTTTAGCAAGTCCATTTGGGATTTGCACCTCCAGATCGCCAAGCAAACACCTAACGTTTGCAAGTATATATACCGGTATATATTTTCGCCTTCCCCTGCTGCCATTGCATCTACATCGGCCAACGTGCCTCGTCTGATTCAGCCGGGCCCGTCCTGCGTCTCTGGGCCGTGATGACTTTTGCCCAACTTTTGGATCAGGTTGGCGGCATGGGCCGTTTCCAGGTCCTCAACGTGCTGCTGCTTTGCTTCCCGATGGTCCTCATGGCAGCCCACAATCTCTTGCAGAATTTTACAGCAGCCGTCCCCGGGCACCACTGCCGCACCGGCATTAACAGCACATGCGGCGGCAGCAACATCACCGAAGGCGCAGACTGTCGGGATCCTCTGAGAGCCTTCATCCCGACAGACGGCAACCAGGTGCTGCAGAAGTGCCGTCGCTTCGTCACCACCCAGTGGCACTTCCTTGAGCCCAATTCCACGGAGCTGGAGAGAACAGAGGCAGAGTTGGAGCCTTGCCTTGACGGCTGGACCTACGATGGCCAAGTCTTCACGTCGACCATTGTGACAGAGGTAGGAAGGCCTTAGGTGAGGATCAGCAATGCCTCACCACATTTTCTGGGATTGGATTGGGACTGAAGTGGGATTCTGGATGACATGGCTGGATTTGTGTAGATCGGGGGGAACTTGCTGCTAGACTACAGTCCCTGGTCTGAGCATAGCTGTCAACTTACAGATTTGAAAATAAGGGACCAGCAGCCTCGAAAATAAGGGGTCAGCAGCCAAAATAAGGGATTTTCCGGGCACAGGTATGTTCAACTTCTGAGCCCCTCCGAGCCAG